GCACCTCTGCCCCATTCTTTGAAGTCAAGCATTTGTGACACTAATTTGTAGTTTTACCTGGCATACCATTGTGGATAACTTTTTTCTGCATTTACAAACTTAATTGTCTTCCGATTTTAGAGATTATGATATAATTGTAATATATAAAATCTCAAACCTTTTGCCGGTTCTAAACATTCACTTAATAAAGTCGTTCCCCTAATATCACCTTCTGTGTGGATTTCCTTGACTTTAATGTCTCTAAAATCTTTTTTTTTTTTTTTTACAATCAGAGTAGTTTAAAGTTTTGGACACTTTTAAATATGAATAAATCTCTTTCTTGCATGTGCATTGTAAGGCCCTTTATGGACTGTATGACCTAGAAGAAGCTATATTGGCTGACCCAGTGGTCATCCTCGAAGCCATCTGGCAACCCAGGTCTTGTTTGGCTTACCCATCCTGCTGCCTCACGCAATTCCTTAAGCAAGCATAAGTGTGCTTAGGAGGACTTAATCTCAGGAAAACTGGTTTGGGCCATACTGTTGACTTTCAGAGTGGGTAGACACTGCCTGTTAGGTCATGGGGTTCCTTCAGACACGAAAAAACTGAGACTTGATTTTAACAATGTGCCCTCTCAGTCTGTTGGGGATCTTTGGGTTCTCATTGAAATCCTGCCCTTGCAAAGGCACTCTTGGTAAGCTTAAACTAAGCAAGTAATTATTTAACACTCCAGCTTCTTGAGTTGTACGGTATCATTAGTTGTGTTCTTTGGAGGGCTGGCAGATACTCCCAAGTATATACAGCCAGCCAATTAGTCAAGCAGGAGAAGTTAGAGAAGCTCCATCCTGTCTACACACAGAGGTCACTCTTGGCCTTTTGACTTTCTGTCAGTGCAGAGGCCAGTGTCTTCCAGAAGAGGGCCTTGGCTCCAGGCAGATGAGTCAACCAACCAGCCAGCCAGACAGGCAGCCAGCCACACCGTTTGCAGTCTAGGTCTGGGGCTACAGCCTGGACTAGGGCAGCTCAAGTTACCCAGACAGATTTGTTAACACTGTTTGGGTCCACTCAGCTTTCTAGCCAGGCTTCTGAGCCAAACGCGGCTGAGGTGACTTAATCTGTCATTAAACTCACATTACACCCGAACACAGAGTCTGCTCAGGGGGGCAGAGACGGTACTCACTCTCCCACTCGCTGGCACGGCTGGCTGGGTTTAGGCAGACACAAAGAACACACCCCCCTTCCTCCTCCTTCCCATCCTCTTCATGCCACACACCATGGCACAGCTAGACAGCACTGCACAGTCTAGACAAAAGCAATTTCACTTGAAGTTGAAAAGTCATTTGGCTGTGTGATGGGTGTCCGTGTGGATTTCCTGGTCTTTGCTGTATTCTGCTGGTATACATCTGCTTTTCACAAGAATGTGCTGTCAAAAGTGTTTTTATTCCCTTCAATTCAAAATGTAATGCAGCTGAACAAAACCAAATAAAATACTTTTTTTTTTGCTTGCTTTAAATTAGGACCAGATTTGAAATCTATTTGCTTTCAATTGGTGAAAATGAGAGAAAAAAATAAGAACTTCATGAATCTTAAATAAATTTCAGTTTTAAAGAGTTAAATGCAGCCAGATATTATGCAGCAGGTATTAAAAAACTTGAAATGTTAATTTGTGGTTTCTTCCATCAATGTTGGAATAATTTCTTCCTCTGTTATGGGTATTCGACATTTTTGTGGAACAAAACTACCTGCTTGTGACACTTTTGAAAAAGTATTTACTCCTCTCAGAGTTGGGTTTTTTGGTGGGGATTTTTATGTACTTTTTTGAACAAACTAAATATTTCAAATAATCAAACCAATTTTGATATCCAGATAACCTCAGTAAAATTCAAAGAACAGTTTCCAAAAACTTTATTTTATTTAAAAAGCAATAAACAAGACAACCTGAAAAACTGAGAAATGATTGCGCCCTTTTGAGATAATAAATTTCATATGATTAAGTATGTTTTTTCTTTTTTTGAAAAGTCGAGTTCAGCTTCATTAGAGACCCTATTATTACCAGATATGTACATCAAAAAAATCACTAAAATACAATCCATCTGACTTCATGAACTAGCCCAGAAGATTTTGTAAAAGCAACATATCGTATTTTAAATAAAAAAACACAAATTCAAATATAGATTTGAAAGAGAAATTATGTACAGATGGGGAAAACATGAGGCAGCAGGAGACCTTCTCAGGAATGCCCAGCACACCACAGTTACTCAAAGCACACTGATGACTCTTACAGGTCATCTTTGTAACACCTGGGGTTACAACAAACCGCAGGTGTTCATGGTTTAACAAGAAATCCTGACTGTTTGGGGCAAATACTCTGTGGACTGGCTAGACAAGCTTTTCACCAATCCATTGCCATAATACAGCATGTCAGATAAAGAACATCGTGAAACCACTCCAAAATGTTTTTAAGGTAGAATGGTTGTTTCCAGCTGCTTTGCCTCAGCAGAATCTGGCTACTTTGGCATAACTGATAGAACCAAGATTCAGCAATTGAATCTGCATAACCCAAGTTCTGTTCCACTTGGGTTATGCAGCAGAACAATGATTCAAAGCACACCATGAAGTCCACCAATGAATGGCTCAGGAAAAACAAATGAAATTTTGCAGGATTCTAGTCAAAAGTCTGTGATTAAGATTATATGACATAGCCTTACGCAGAATGTTTAATAGCCAAATCCGCTTCAGTGTAACTTAATTAAAACAATTTCGCAAAGAGACCAGAATTTATCTACAGCGATGTTAAAGATTTAAAACAGCTTTATTTGAATTATCTTAAAAATATATTTAAAAATCTTTGATCTAAAAAATTTAGGTATGATCATAAAAGCGAAAACAAGCACTTTTTTGCTGTAATAAATGTTATTTTAAGTTGACAAAGTTGTATTTAAGTTGTGTTTTTAAATAATTCTGGTAGGTTTTAAATTTAAATTAGAATGATAGAAAAAGTATCTTGAAATTCTTAAATTGAGTTTTTTGGGACTATAATCTAATATCTTTTCTTTTTATTTTAATTTCTCCTAACTACTTCTATTTATGACTGCTACATTATTATACAAAACTACTGTATTGGCAAAATAGTTCTGAAAATATGCATGAAAAGTTTAACATAGTGCTAAATTATTCAGATTAGTTTTTTAGGATTTCTCTGATGCAAACATTTTTCTTAGCTCATTTTGTCACCTGTAATCAGGCAAGCAGGAGGTGATAGCTTGAGCGAAACCTTCTTTTACTCTCAGCTTGAAAACGTCAAATTCCCTAACAACCTGCAGGACGATCAGTGGAGGTCTGGGACATTGTTTCCCTCTGCCTGAGATTTGTTTTTACCTAACAGCTGGTTCTGCTTCCTCCACAAACCTTCCTTCTCCCCTGCTGTCAAGAGCTGCCAAAAGCCAACATATGAACTTTATAATCAACTGTTACACAAAGCAGTGCCAAGCCAACATGCCAAATATTTTTCACATGAAGTGGCTGCTTTGTTTCATGTAGTCCTCATCTGTTCGACTGTGTTGGTTTTATTTGTTAGTTTACACCGTCGTCAAGACACGTCTGCAGAAATCAAAGTTGATTTTAACTCCTAATTGGCTGAGATGAGGTGACATTGATCTAAACGTGTTAATCTTACTTAAACTTTATTGTACTAAACTTCATTAAACCACATACCAGTTTCTACCTCCAGGGTCCCTGTACAGTCTTCAATAATCTGGAAATTGCTTTTATAATTTACTGGGGCTCAATAAGGATGACACAAAACAATGTGTGAAAAAACTAATTTTTTTTTTTTATTGATTTATATTTTACATTTGTGTAACTCGTAACAGCATAGCTTACATTTTTATCAAATTTGTTAAATGTTTTGCTGTTCCAAGAACTTACAGATAAATGCTTCCGGTGCACTAATTCAAAAATGCCATTTTGCATTTCGCAGTATTAAGCTAAAACCAGGGTTCTTAACTTGAATGTGGTGTAGACTCCAATCTCATTGTAGTTAGTCCAGATGCAATAAAATAAATACAACTGTTTCTTTTACTGCACTGATAAATTGAAAGCATTGTACTCTTTTATTGGCTTGAGAAATAAACAAACATTAAAATCAAACAAATTATATGATTTTTGTTTGTGAAAGTTCAGGATATAAAAAAAAAAAACTGCTTGAGAAATGCATGGAAAACATGAGAAAAATATTGTTGGAATTTTGTATTGTCTTTTTAACCAAGTAAAATATTTAGGAAGAAAATTGATACTGTTCACCATAAATCCTGTTTTTTATACAACTATTACATTTTGGAAAAGGGAAAAATTTTGATATTTCCAGTAATGGCATCTATTCATCCATCTATTTATCAGTGAGTCAGTGATTTTTTTTTTATATTTTAACAAACAAAAATTCATCCAATAACCATTAATTGGCATTTATTAACTCTAAAATAAACCCACCGAAAAAAAGCACTCTCAGAGCTGTAATTAAGCCAAAACTAAACAAAAATATATATTTTATATATTAGATGAAAAACCTTCTTTGCATGTTCTACCCACAGCTCCTCAAATTGCATAGTCTTAGCTTCACCTGGTTCAAATTCAGCAAAGTTATTAATTGGTTAATTTAAAAAATAGTCTACAAATCAGCCCTACACTTAATTGGTATTAAATGAAGCAGAAAGAGTTTATAAGCATTTATTTGACAGTATGCATTCTTTGCTATCTTGTTGTGTTTTTGGCAATAATTTGGCAATTACATGGTCATTTTCTTAAGAAAACAAGCAATTTAATTATCTATCTGTCATTTTACATGTGTTTTATATTGTATTAAATGAGGTTAAGTGGTTAAATGAAAAATCCTAAGAATAATCGGTTACAGAATAATTAACTTTATTAAAATAAATTATTTCTGGGGGGTTTTTTGTTTTTGTTTTTTTTTAGTAAATGCGACAGAACAGTGTAATTTGATCTCCTGGCATTTCTGTCTGCAGATAAAGAAATACTTTGAGCTGGAGCCGCTGGCGAGAGGAAAGCGATGGATCCTGGAGGGCTGCACTGTTGACAACATGGAGTCAATGAAGGAGAGTTTTGGTCAGCTCATCGGCCTGCTTGAGGACAAGGAAACGGAGCCGGCGAGGATATGATGTTAGCGCACATCAGCGGCTGCTGACTGGCACGTCCTGCTGGTGCCCACGTCCACACACCTGAGCAAGCGCAGACACAAACACACAGGAAAACGGAACAGATGTCGGCCACTCTTTGTGATGAATATTGTATGTTGTCCTCCCTCCGCCGCAGTCTCAGTTTTCACATCGGAATAGTGAACCGGGGCATCAGTCGAGCACTACAGACTGACAGAAGAGAGCCACCCTGAGAGCCACCCAGAGAAAAGTCCCTGAAGTCTGCCAACAATGGAAACCTTGTTTACTACTGTTTGTGCCATTGTTATGTGATCAAAGGCGTTTAGGACATTTAGAAAGTCTGTAGTCAGCATTAAACACTAACACACACTCTGAAGCGCACACACACACACACACATACAAACACACAGAGACATGAAACTAAGTGGAGCCCAGATTGATATGTTTAGCATCTCCACTAATTGCTTTGCAAGATGTTTGAGAGAGCACAGTTGATGTTCTTTTCCACTGAGAAGTACTGTATGCTGTTAAGTCTGCTTCTCCCTTTGACTCTTCAACAACACATGTTGTTGTGTGAGCGGAGTGCATAGCCTAAAGCCCTGTGTTCTGTGCGGTAGCTACCTGTAATGCAAGTAGTGTATTCTGAGTATCTCATGGAAGTATTCTGTAGATGCAAACAAGCAATTTGCAGTGTAACCGCACACAAGTGCAAACTATTAACCGAGTGACTGACAGCAACGCTGGGAGGAAGTCTGAGAGCTTTTATAAATGTGCGATTTAGGTTATATTTTATAGCTTACGTATGTTAATCTCGTAAAGCAGCATTCTGATTTGTTTTTAAAATGTCTGTATGTCTCAAATCAAAGACCAAGAAAACAAGTTGATTGACTGAGCCGGTCAACGAGGAGCAATGTAATGAATTTTGTGTCTTTATAGTGTTGACCGATGTCAGATTTGTTTTTTTGTTTTTTTTTTATTTGTACTGTGTCTTCTTTCCTTTCCTTTTTCTATTTGACATAACCTCTCAACACTAGCTGGTGACTGGAGTTTCTCATCATGCCCCAATACAAACTATCAATCAGCCGCAGCAACAGCTGCATCTGACAAGTCCCTGTCCGACACCCTAATGCCTTCCAACTGTCTGGAGACTCCCCTCTTCCCCCCAAACCCCGTCTGCCGTTTATCACCCCCCACCTCGTCCCGAGCAGCTCTAACCCGACTCTCCTCCACATTCCCGTTGCCGCTCGATGAACTTTTTTATCTCAGATGTCATTTCAAGTGAGCGGCGTATCATTTAGGAAGAGTCGCCTTCATTGTGCCACAAGTGTCGGGTTACCTCCAAGAATAACGATAAAAAAAAATCATCAGGTTGTTTAGTCATCATGGTTTTTTTATTGTTGTTGTTTTGTTTTATTTTTAGAATTTTTATTCCTTTTTCGTACCTGAATGGAGAACTGAGTGAAATTGTTTGCTTTAATGCAAATGTGAATTTCTTAACCAAGGATCAAACCAGAGTCAGACTTCTCACGTCGTCCACTCACCAAAATCACAAATATGGGCATTCAGCTGTGCATTGTGTCCAAGGTTGAAATTAAACTTTTAAAATTGAAAACAAATGTTGCATTTTGAGCTGTTAATGTGGATTAGTAATATGTTGACTCTACCATTTACATGTACAGGAAGAAACGCTATAAAATGAATGTCACTTGTCTTTTCAAATATGATCTTTAAGGGTTTAAAGATGATGTCGACCTATTCCTTCATAATCGTCTTTAGAAGTAGTCTGAATGGAACACCTGGTTACCTGAATGTTTTTCTCTCTGTTGCTCTTATTAATTCACCAAACCATCTTGTGAAAATACAATACCCTAAACAATAATCAGAAAGTCCAGATGAATGAGAGAAGTTCAACCCAAAGTTTAAAAGTTAAAAAAAAAAAGTGGTTAGAGTGGAGCATCTGAAGAAAGAGCAGAAAGTTAACCAAGTGAGGCAAAGATTACTGAGTGAAATGCTCCACAGTGATTCAGGCTTGTTCCAGGGGCCTCGTGTCCAGCCTGTGTAAACCCATAAAAACATGTTCCTTGCTTTTTGAAACCAAGTAAGTCAGACTTATCATTAATAATATAACAGTGGAAATATGTGCAGCTCCATGTAGCTGGGGATTTTCTTGGGGTTTTTACCCACACTAGAAACACATGATAAATGATTATTACAACTAAGCACATGGATGGATATTAAAGCATGCACATTGTGTTGCAAGAATTACTTTTGCAACACAACAGCTTTAGCTTTCTGGTAGTATGTTGTAGACCAGGAGTCTCAAACTCCAGTCCTCCAGGGCCGCTGTCCTGCAGCTTTTAGATGTGCCACAGATACAAAACACAGGAATGAAATGGCTTAATGACCTCCTCCTCCAGTTCTCCAGAGCCTTGCTAATCATCGAGTTATTCTATTCAGGTGTGGTGCAGCAGGGGCACATCTAAAAGTTTGTAGGACACCGTCCCTCAAGGACTGGAGTTTGAGACCCCAGTTTTTAGACAATATGGTGTGAAGAGCAGGGTTGCTAAGTTATGGAAAATGTCTGGAAAATTTAGCAGGGGACGTTAGCTGAGGAGTTCAAAGTAACTTTAGGGTATTTTAGAAAAGTAATGATATTGAAACATAAATAACACCAAGGTTATTTTTGCATAAATAAACTATGCCATGCATAGTTAATTCCCACTTCAGTTTTTCCAAATGGATTCATCCAAATATCTTCTAAAGAGTTGTGGATATTGATGCTGTGGGAAATATATCCAGAAGCAGCCAGGGTTGCAGTGTATCTGGAGATGCCTCTGACTGAAGACTGTTTTTGTACAACAGTCTCATGAGTGTCTTGACATACCAAGAGCTTGGTTTGTGGGAAACCGAGATAATGCAAGGTAACGTCCTGGACAATACCGTCAGTTGTTAGGAAGCTCTGCTAATCCACCTCATTTGCTTTTGCCATTTCTCTTTAACTCTATGTCTGTCTATATCGTTGATCTGGGCAGAGACATGTAGTCGCGAACATGATGGCTTCTTTTTGATTTTGGTTCTGCATCCACAAAACCTCTTTTTTTATCAACTTCTCTGAGAGATTTGGAGCTGTGGTTAAGGTATGAGTTGTACTTTGTAGATGCTAATTAGCTGCTACCAGTAGTAAAACAAAAATAACAACGGCTTGTTTCCACAATTACACATCACCGCAACCATCTGAAAGTAAAAAAGCAGTTGTCCAAGCATCTGATGCCTCAACCAAAAACACATGAAGAATGTCTACAAAAAGAATGAATCAGAATTAACGCAACAGGGCCAAAATGCTGCAATTATGAGACAATAGCAGAAAATTGTGTTGTTCAAATACATTTAACAAGTAGTATCCAGTCTTCCCTCACTTGATGTAATCCATTGGCTCAAATATGTGGCCTGAATTGTCAAAGTTTCTTGAATTCACCTATGTCTGTGGTGATGAATTACAGTTCATGCAAATGATGCTTCAGTAGCTTTCACCTCATCTAAATGCCATGTTGTCTTTATTTTCTCATCTTGAAAAGTAGACAGAGGGAAAGAGAAGGTTATGGATTTATTTTTACAAGTTTACAAAATGATCAACCTAAAACATAAAGTCTTAATCACAAAAAGTAAAGGTTTGTTTTTGTTTTTTTTAAAAGAAGTTCTTTCTTCCTCTGTTTAATAAATGTGCTCACATTTTTTGGGGGGAGTGATTATGCCACTGTAGGAAAAGGAGAATTTATTTGAATGTTTTTATACATCTGGATATATTTACAAAAGAGTATTTTCTTCTCCTGGATCACTACAGAGTATATCCTGGGTTTCCCATTTACGTGAATTCCTGCAGATATCTCCCCCGATTTATGGACCGAGGTGTCCTGTGGAAACCTGAGACGCCGAACGACAATCAGAAAAAGACAGATGAACCAGGGGAGTTCGAGCCAAAGTTCGAAGGTAAAAGCGATCAAAGTGAAGCAGCTGAAGAGAGTTTTGAGTGTAAAGTTAACCGAGTAGGACAGGAGTTCCTGATAAATATAGTCGACTCTGTGCTGCGTCTTTGTCCCCCCGTCTCAACTCCCCCTTTCTTCTCCTTTTGCCCTTCTTCCCTCTCTTTCAAATTAACCGTGTGGCTTTAATACAATGTGTGTCAAGCAGGTTGCCCTGGCGACTCTTTGATCCTGTTTTCCAGTCTCTGCCTGTGGGGCAGACGTGCCTCTCTTCAGTCTGCTGCACATCGGCTCTGGAAGCTGTTGCAGCCCTGAGACAAACCATGGGCTGCTGCGTTCATCTCACCCCCACCCATCTCTTTTTCTTCACTTTCTCTTTTCTTTTATTTTTGTCTTTTGCACTCACAGGTTCTCTCCGTCCTTCTGTCTCGCTGCCCTCCCTCAACGCGGGCATCTAGGATGCCCGAGGGAAGGGCAGCAGCCTGGATCTCGGTGAAGTCTTCTCCTCCCTTGTTCCCAGAACAAGGGAGGAGAAGACGTCTGTGTGTGCAACACATTCGTTTATTTGCCTGAAGAACATGCAGCCAGTCCTCTCCTCCCACTCACAACTCTTACCTGCTCTCCATGTTCTAATTGCTGGTGTCTGGATGTGGTGTTCAGCGCTGCCGTCTGGTTGCACACACCCTCAGGAAGAAGTTCTGCTGTGTGATGAAGCAGTTTGGATTTTTCTACCGAGTCTAAATACCTGAGACGCACTGTTTATCGCGCTGGATACAGTATCTAAAGAAACATTCAAGTCTCTACGTGCTCATTTTTACAAATGACGAACATGAGTGGTAATTAACAGCTACCTGTAGGGCAGAAGGATACAGAGAACTAATTGTTGGCACCAGTATAAGGGAAGTAAGTGCTCCGAAGGGCCATTAAGAGAACGAGTGAGTCAGAAAACCGCAAAGAAGCAAACAGAACTTGCGTAGCTGAGATCAAACCTCCAATCTGTGTGGTTCTGCCGCCTTCATCGTGGTTTATCATCCGTCTCTCTGGTTTCAAGCTTCACACGTCACTATCTCTGCTTTTTTTCCCCACTGTTTGTACACAGTGTGTTCAGGTCACACACTTAACAACAACAGGAAGTCAAGTGTGGACCGGATTTCACCCGGGCTGCACTCCCATCTAACGCTTTAGGGAATCCATGGCTTTATGGAGCAGCTGATCATAAGGTGATAGTTTTGTAGGTTCAGGGGAAAATGTTTTCTGTAACAACTGTCTGACTTTTCACCTCAACAAAAGGAGTGCTTTGGTAAAGCTAATGTCATTCTAGATGCAACCTTCTTTTATTAAGCTTTTTTTTTTTAGGAATTTAGTGTTGCATTACGCATATACAAATATATACCCAGTTTTGTGACCCATTTTGACTCTTATTGCATAAATCCTCATAAATTGGAAGCCGTTTTTTTTGGCAGAGGACTCCAGATTTTGATTTAAAATGTGTTCACAGGAAGCTGTTTTTCCGCATATTAATTCTGTTTTACACCTAATCCAAATGAACTGTTTATTTATTATGAGCTTAGTCTTTGATTATTTTCACATTGCAGGTAAAAGTGGCCAAAATCCGACTTTTATTGCACAGATGGTACCAATATCTCCATTTTCGTTGTTTTCTTTTAATGACCCAGGCCATTTTGATCCAGCATCTGGTCCAAAATCTGATGCATATCTGATGTTTTCTTAAAACTCGGATAGTAACATTGCATTTGATCCAGATTTTATGTCACTGAAGTGAGACGGATGTCCCAATTCTGCACTGGCAAAGACTCAAAGTTAGAAGTTCAAATGTAAACCAAAGCCAAACATCCCAAATACAATTGATTCTAATTCACTACAATTTAGATTGCAATTTTATAGCAATTTTTTTATATTTTCAATTGCTATTATCTGTTCTCCTCTTGCACTTTTGCAGTTAGCTAAAACTGCTGCAGCAAGATTTTAAATGGCACAAAGAAAAAAAGAAATCACAACTCCGGTTTTAGTTTTACAAATAAAATACGGTATAGTTTGCTTTCAGTCTGTGGAGTATTTAGTTTGTTGCTGCTATTTCCTAACTGTGTAAATCCTGGTTTAAACTCTTAATTTTATTTTCTTGATTGTAAATAGGTGCGACGTAAGATGAGAAGCTATTTTTCTGGAGCCTTTTGAATACACATTACTTGGACGGCATGTTCTCTTGTCCTGGATGAAAGAAATGGGTCTCTTTGTCACGGCACAATTATACAGCAGGAAAACAGGAAGACATGGCTCATTAACGAAAGGTTCACATTTTTGTTTTAACAAGAATTTATAAGAACAGTTCAATTACATTCATTTTATATAAATTATTGCAGGTGGGGGAAAAAAGTGCCACCAACAATTTCCTAAAAATAAAAAAAATGTTTTCATGGGAATAAAGCAACTGAATTAAGCGAGGTTAAGTAATTTTTTTTAAGTGCTGCTGTAGTAAAAGAGTAATGATGACTTGATGAGCAACAACAACAACAAAAAAAGAATAGCAAATGGACTTTTCTGGTTTTGCAAAATGAAAGCATTTCTGTGAAGAGTAATAGACAAAAACATCTAGTAAAACAAAAAAGGACTAATTTGGAACTCAGTGACAGAATTTAGAAAGCAATTATGTGGGATGTTTGATGTTTTAAGATTAGAAGAAGAACTGATGTGTTTCCCACACACAATAATGACCTAAGCTGATGCTGTGATGCTTTGTGAAATGCAAACGACTGACCCGACGGGGAACCCACCTTTGTTTACACGACAAACAAAAAGCAGCAAATGATGCATACATGTTTTCTTAAACTCTGCAAAAAAAGGCACCTCTTCTCTTTGCCTTCTCCCATCCACTGTGTGTCTATTTGTGTGTGTGGTGGCATTTTTCTGCCGATAAGAGCCCGTCAGGAGGTGCAGCAGATGCTACCCTGACATCCATCTGGGCCTTCACCCCTGTGCTGCCTCCCACGGCCGACGCTCCACGAAGGGCTTTAGGACGCTCACCGTTTAGCGAGGGTCTTCTCCCAGTAGACAAAAAACTGGAAACCGCTCTGCCCCTGATGCTGAACAGAAAGGAGCTCTGGTGCAGATTTCACTCCCGCTAGACACTCGACTACAATCAGACGAGACCTCTTGGCTCTTTTAAGGTGTTTCCTCTTGGTTTCAACACTTTCCTGACTTTAGTTCTTAACAAAAGCGTTTTTTTTTTTTAATCAGCCATCTCCAGCGATTCATATTCTTGTGTTTAGTTTTTGCCCTCATCTAGTTTTACTTCTGAAATAACATGAACATGTGAACCTAATCAATGGCACTAAAGCTTAAAACAAGTCACATTCAGATAAGACTTCCACTATTAAGTGTTTATACTTTTGGCTTTCTAAATCGAGAGTAAGGACAAACTGCTTTACAAACATTGCTGCAAAATCTCTATTTTCAGTTTTTTGTTCAGTTTTTAACTGTTTTCTCCTGAACTAATATACTAAAAAAATATTAGTTATACTATTAGTTTATGCTATTGGTGTATAAAATCTTTTACAGAAGTTAATTAACTCAGTATAAATTCAAAGGAAAGTGTTAAAGATAAAAGTGTTTTTAAACAGATTAAATTTTCATGCTGAAAATATTGAAAGTCAA